TGAATGAATCCGTGTAAATGTGTTATGATTACATTTGAATGAATCTTCAACTCTGATCTGCTTCCGTAAGGAGTAATGGCGTCGCTATTATCAACATTAACAATACCGAACTCAGATATTACAGCAACTGTCCGTCACTGAAGTCCTTAGTATGATATCACCTTAAAATTATGTCTGTTTCGGTGGTTACTTGTAAAAATTTGTTGTTTTGTGCGAATACAAACTGGAATAACCTTTTAATTTGGAGCGAATCTATCGTCAATTTTTCACCAAGCAATGCAATTCTGGTAATAATCAATGAAGTGTAAATTAGATAAAATTTGAGTAGGTCAAGTTAAGTTGCTTTAGGCAAATCAAGGTTAAGGTTCGCCTTTTCCACGATTGAATGACTTTGTGCATGCAACTTCCATGCCACCATATGTGCCTTCCGTTTAGTACATTGAGAACAAGAAGGGAGAAATTAAGATGCCTTTATTATATTTTTATGATCTTGCTTTATTCATTTTGATTGTATATACATAACATATTATATTTGTTGACTTTGTTTATTTTAGTTGTTCATCGTCTGTTCTATTTTATTTTCTTCTTTTCTTTCATTTTCCTTAATATTTCTTTACCGCCGTAAAGCAGCTTTTTCCCTATGCTCTTTGTAGAGCTCTATATCGATGCTTTTGGGTTCAGGAGACGAGGATCTCCGGTGATGGCTTCGTGGGCAGTCCTGATCAAGTCCTGAAACGAATGCAGGTCATAATAATCATAATGATAGTAATAGTGATAATGACAATAATGTCAATGATAATATCCCGGGCGTTTAAAAAACCCTGAAACACCTTGGATCATGTGTTCTCGCAATCTGTATCAAGGAACTCCCTACAGGATAGCTACTTAGATCTTCAGGAATACAACTTACATTGACCACAGCGGCGACCTGCATGAGGGCTTCCACGTAGGCGCCGTGGCAGCTCTCCCCAAGGTGAGCAGGTCCCTCAGGGGCCATCAGGGCCCCCGCCACCCCCGAGCGCTTCCCCTGCGGCACCCACGAGCGCGAGAAGGTGATCTGGGCCAGGCTGGGGCCCACCGCCACGCACACCACCAGCAGCAACACCTGCAGCTTGTGCATCATGACCTCGGGTGACCTGAGCGGGACGTGGGAACAGGTGAGGGAGCTGAAGCGGCAGGAACTGTGCTGGAGGCGGCCTCCGCGCGCCCTTTATACCGGCCCGTCTCACGCCCACGCCCTCGTCGTATAGAACGAATCGTCATGTAGTGGGTGTCTGCGCAGTGAAGACGGACAAATGTTGCAGAAATTGCAAGGGATCTAGAATTGAAAAGGATTAACGATAGAAGTGTATCAAACTCAGAACAAACCGCCATGGAAACCTGAAAGTAAACGATAATGGCATTCCTGTTGTATTGGTACTTCATATCCGTCTTGAATTGAAGGGCACAGAATGGATGGTTGTTTCAGTGGGTCCAAAACCACATCAAGTCATAGCCAAGTCTTGTCGTCAGTGCTTGAATTCGCTGCAAGATATTTTCCTTTACAACATTTCTTTATGTCTTTTGGTTTTCGTTTTTATTTATTTGTCTATTTATCGATTCTTTTTTAAAGCTTAATGTCCATCTTCTCGTTCCTTTGGGAAGTGGGCGTTGGGTGAGGTTCCTTTTCATATATTCTGAAATATATAAATAAACAAAACAAATGCAAAAAACAAACCGGAAAAGGGACTAGCAAGGGATATAAGGAAAGGGAGGAAGAAAAAACTGGGAATGGAATCAACAAATAATATATTTTGAGTAATGGTCATTATTGTTGAAAATATCACATGAATATAAAGGTAATGTATAACTGATAATAAAGAAATCAATTCTGTTTGTGAAAGAGTGGGTGCGAGAAACTCAAGGACTTGGCATAATAAAACTGTAGATAATGAATGATTGAAGAAATGAAAAAGGTGAGAATATTTTAAGGTATACCACTATATCGAAATCACTTTTTGATAGAATATCATATACGACGTACACATATTTCATCATAAATATATATATATATATATATATATATATATATATATATTATATATATAAGAAAGAAAGAAATAATAGAAATATATACATATATATATATACATGTATATGTATAATATGCATAAGTGGTCATTTGCTTCTCAATTGCATTATACAAGTAAACATACATACATATGTTTTTCTATATATTCATATATATATATAATATATATATATATATATATATATATATATATATATATATATATATATTATATATATTATATATATATATTTATGAAAGATGGAAAAATGCTTTTTTATCATAAACATTATAACCTCTCCGATTTGGGATTTGTCCTGCTCTGTCCATAGATACGAGTGCCTTACTCATGTATGAGTAGATAGGTAATGTCTATGGATGCTAGTAAGCGCCTAGTTTCTCATTCCTTTTAGTGGGTCGTTGTACGAGTGGTAGAGCGGTCGTCTTGCATTCACGTGCATTGGCGGCGAGGGATCGAATCCCGATCGGAGAGGTTATAATGTTCAATATATATTTATGTTATATATATATATATAATATGTATATATAATGTCTATATCTATATCTATTTCTATGTATATGTAGATATATACACACACATATACACACACACACATGCAAACACACACACACACACACATGCACACAAACACACACACCCATACAGACAGACACACAAACACATGTGTGTGTGTGTGTAAATATATACATATGTTATATATTTTTCTTCTTTTTTTTGGGGGCCGTGGATACAGCAGCTAAAGAGGCAGCTCCGGCGGTATCAAGGAATAGATTGAGAGTGGAATTATGGAATCCTGTGTTAGAGAAAAGTGTAAGAGAAGAAAATCATGAAGGGGAAGGGACTGATTACTAATGATTATTGACTTTAGATTAGTAGGTGAAGGGAGGGTATAAAGTAGAGTTCACCTTTTAGTTGAATTAAGTTAGTAGAAAATATTACTTTTATCCTTATGATATTTATTACTAAGACTTACATTGTGATATGCCACCTGATTATTACTATTTGTTCATAGAATAAGATGTTTTTGGATAAGGAAACTCCTCTGTCTATTGTATATTTGGCACACATGCAACAGAGGAAAGCTTTTAATTCACCCCACGAGTCTTAGGTCGTTAAGTTGTGCTACCCATATTAAAATTAGGTAAGTCGAATTTGGGTTTTCTCGTATCGGGTGATGGCGGCACTACGAGGGTTAATCACTTTAATTGAGTTTGATGGTCATGTGTTGGGATAGAGATTTTGAAAGGATTGTGTTCTAATCACTATTTTGAATTTTCCCTGACTTGTTGGCAGTACAGTAAATTTAGTAAGAATATATGTTTTACTTGATTCGTATGTGAAAAATATATATACATATACATACATACACACACACACACAATATATATATATATATATATATTATATATATATATATATATATATATATATATACATACATATATGTATGTGTGTATGTATGTATGTATACACTCCCTAACTCCCCTCCAAACCTTTCCATTCCTTATCTCCCCGCCCTTCCTCCCCTTTACCCTCCCTTTCTCTTCTCCCTCCTTCCTCCTTGCATTTCATTCCTTCTGTTTCCCTTTCTTTCTTTTCTTTCTTCTCTTTCTTTTTCTCCCAACTTTCTCTTTTACCAGTATACTTTCCACTTTTACTCTTGCTTTTCTCATTCCAACTTCCCCCCTTCTACTCTCTTCACTTGCTCTTTTTCTTCCCCCTCCTCATCCTCTTCCGTTTCCCTTTCCCCCTCTCTAGTTTCTTCTTTCCCCTTCTTCTTTTACTCCTTCCCTTTCCTCTTCTCCTTTCCTTTCTCTCCTGTCTCCACCAACCTCGTCCACTCCCTTTCCTCCCTCCCCTCTCCCTTTCACTCCTTCTTTTCCCTTTCACTTATTCTTTCTTTTATCTTCTCCCTCACCTTTTCCTTCACTCACCCTCCTCCCCTTTTCATCACCTCTCCCATCTCCTTTTCCTTCTATCCCTCTATCTCCCCCCCCCCTCTTTCGTCTCTTAGGATACACTTCTTCGCTTCCCCTCATTCCCTCCTTCCTTGACAAAAAATATAAATAATAGATAAATAAAGATAAAATTAAAATAAAAACAGAGGAGATAGCGGGAAGAGTAAATTGGAATAAAAAGGGGAAGAGTAGAGGAGCTGGAGGAAGAGGAGAGAAAGAAAGAATGAATGAGAGAAGAAGAGGCACTTTATGATGACAAAGGGATGGAGAATAAGAGAATAAGATTAC